GCACCGAGACCCTGATTTAGGTGGGGGGGGTCGTACCAAGACCCTCCTTCGAGAGGGGGGGGTCGTACTGGCACCACCATTTCACACATCACGATGCTGTACCCTGGGCCTGGGCATTTCTTGGAGCGCAGCCAGACTAGATTTCCCGAGCTCAGAATGGTACCATTAGTGGAAAAAGGGTGCCCTGGCTGAGATGCAATGCAGGTCCCGTAGCGCACCATTATGGTTTGCAGGGATCATGACTGCATACAGTCTTTGGGTGCTGCTGGCATTTTGCCCATTTCCTACTTGCCCGTGCCGCCATTAGCGATAACATCATGTTTTGCTGTCATATTGCAACGATTTACACCAAAACTTCCGCCTACAGATTGTAATTGCATATGACAGCCGAAGGGATCGTTGCGATAGTCCAAAAAGCAAGTGTTAGTGCGGCCAAAGTTGAAGAAAAATTCGCCTGAGAGCGACTTGGGCTCTAACTGAGCACCTCCTATCATTCAAGGGCTCTGTGGCAGATTTCTCTCGAAGGGGAGAGGTTTCAGTGAGCTCGGCGCTGCTTTGGTAACTACATATTTTTCTACTACTCTCAGCGACCAAATACGACCCCCTCATGAATCTGATTCCGCTCCGCAACTAACCTTACTTCTTACAAACTTTCCTCAAAATTTTGTCGTAACGGGGACGGATGGGCGAGAGAGGTGAATGGATGTGCATCTGGAAAAATTAGCAATCGGGGAAAAAATTCTCGAGGTCAGTCACAACCCTTCGCCCGCCGAATAAAGCACCCCTGCTATATTTGAAGCGATGAATGCCTTGATGGGTATTAAGAGAGCGCACAGCACCGTGATATGTGAGATGGCGGTGTCAGCATGACCCTACCCGAAATTTTCCCCATCTAGTACGACCCCGTTCACACTCCCTTCTTCCCTTATCGGAACGAACGATTCTCCTGTGTGATCCCGAAATGGCGCCATCTAGCGATCGCTCTCCAACGACCAGCTGTTCCCGAATCCGCGGCGATTTTACCGCTGCCGCCGCAAAGGGCGAAGGAAGTACTAACAGTTTGGCGGGATTGAGTTAGTAATTGCCGAGGGACAATTTTGAGCACGGGCCACGCGGATACGGTAGCATCAGCGCTACTGAACCTTGAAGTTGTGAGGTATGATCACGTCCTTCACGATACAAGTACAGACCCTTGGTAAGGCGGTTGTGCAGCTGGCAACACCCAAAATTCTTTCATTTCAGCAGAAAGTAATGGCTGGTTACCGTATGCCTCCACCGCCAGCTATGCCAGAAGAGATGGTGGTCGTCATGGAGCTTGCTTGGAATCATGATCCAGAGAAGCGGCCTGATGCTAGTGCTCTTCGGAAACTCTTAGAAGAAGTGAACAAGGTGCTGCAGTCGCTTATCTTTTTGGGAAACTATTGTATTTCAAACGCTCGCTTACAGAAGTACGGTGGTGACGAGGAGCGATCTAAGTCATCATCTGTGTTGAAAAGTCGTGCTTAACAAGGTAATGGTGCCGTTTGATGGTGATAACAATTATTCGAGATCCAAATTTAGTTCTCATCTGTGTCTACGTGTTATTGTAAAGTGTCGAGTGTGCCAATAAAGTTTTGAATAAACCCAGTCGAGCTGAGGCAGCTGCAACTATGCATCAGTAGCTGGTAAACCACATCATGTGCACTTTTAGAACTTGCGATTTACGTCTCTACTCCTCGAAAACGGTCGCTCCACCCTCATCCGCATCCCCCCAAGGTGTGAATCGGGATTGATATGTAGGCCTAACAATAAGGCACACTAAAACATGCTACACTATAGGCAGGCGTGATCTAAACACGAAACGCGAGACTCAGCTACTGAGAAAACCTTCAGTTTTCCTAATTTGCGCACGTCGTACGTTGGAAAGTCCCCAAACCAGGACGGGAGAGGGCAGGTGACGCCCTACGTGCGGCAAAATGTTTTTCAATTGTTTTCTTCCTTTTCACGAGGACCCTGTACCCCACGGCGGGAGAGGTCGTAACTGCAGACTCAGTGTCGTTCGTGGTTACAAGGCATGTTATCACCAGGGATGCTCTTTCCTGCGAGGGTTCGAAGGACTTTTTCAGCGCATTATCTGGTCTGACATCCAGAGGAAGGAAAGTAAGGACGAGAGGTGAGAGCAGGAAAGAAGAAAAGGAAGGAGGAAGAAAAGGTAACGCGCTTGAGAGATATCGCTACGCGTCGTTCGTGACAGCGCGTATCGAGGAGCTTAATGCTGCCCTGTTCGGCAGTAATACTCGTCGCTGCGCAAGCTTAATTTTTTATTAGCTGAGGGCGTCATTAGGTTACTAAATGGCCGTTGGGCAAAAATCTATCATTTTTAGCTCAAGACCACTCCCACGTGGGCCATTAAGCCACGGTTATTTACTAGTGCTCTAGCCATCTTGGGACAGAATGTATTTACTTGCGTGGTCGATGACACCGCATTTCGACTGCTTCTGATGGTTTTTTGGAGGCGGTTGCCTTTATCTTGCTCCCTCGACGATTTGAGGTGTCATACACTAGAAGATTCTTGATTCCACACGTCAAGGCGTGCCTATGGCTCCGCGTGGGTCCTGTTTTGACCGCATTCACGTATGCGAAGAGCTCTGAAAGCTAGTGGTCATCACATTACGCAGACGATTTTTACAAGGTCTACAGACATGACGTATCGCGTGCCATTCTTTCTTCGTCGTCGTTGCAACAAAATATTGCCCGGAAATGCAGCGGTCGCTGGTCGTCATAAAACTGGCTGATAAGGTCATCGAACCCGCAACTGTTTTGATGAATTTTCGCGTCTTTCAGCGCCCACTCCGCCACGTTTGCTCGGGTCAACCGTCCTGACCGAGAGAGAGCGACTCGATGGCCTTGAGTCTGGTGACGGCTATCGTTGGCTAATGTTATCAAAAGAAGTGATGACGCTGTGTTGAGTGACCGCAGTTAATGTAAGCCTCTACGAAAAATCACTGTCTTACAAGCAGATTTAAATGTAGCGGAAATGTAAGCCCAAAAGGAAGAGGTACGTATTGTTGGCCATCTCACTGCCGTTCGATATCTATGGCGAAGAAGCAGCGGGACGACATCATTGCCAGACGAGTTGATACTTCTATGCACGTTTTATGGACTGAACTTCACTGGATTAGCTGTAACACTTCCTGCATAGGTCCCGAGTGGCACATTCCTAGGCCATCCTATGGGCAGTCACTTGGACAGACTGTAAAGAAGACGAAAGCACCACTATAGAAAGGGCAATACTTCACGTGATTCTGCTGCGACGGCCGACTTTCTCCCCGCTTTGTATTGCACTGGCCTTTGAGTAATAGATTGAACTGACAGGCGCCTTGCGGCTCCCAGGCTAGTTTGTACTCAATCCCAGGCACTGGAAAAAGTGGAAAAAAGTACGGCGATGTGTGAACGGTTGCTTTCCCGATAAACATGGTTTTTGTGTTCGAAGTGCTTGACTAGCCTGACAATCAAAAAAAAGAGACTCAACGAAGAGTCGTGCCCTACGGAAGACAAACTCATTTTTTTCGCGCTCTTATTGCAAATGCTATGAGCTTTATGAGGGCAGGTCCCAATACTATGATCTCACAGAGGTAATGCTTACAATATGCTTACGCTTTTCGAAGGGTTTGCTCGCTGAGACCTTCGAGCTCTCGCTTATCTTCGCACTGACTTCGCTCGATGCCTTACTTGATGGTTTTTGAAGCTCCAGTTGCTCTCTAAAATCGCGTCCGTTTTTCGCATGCGGGTGAGTACAGTATAGATTGGCCGTGGCGCGTAGGCGTGGTTAGATGGGGCGGCGAACTGAAGGCGCCACAGCAGCGACATCTGTTCAGCTGAAGCGGCTTGGCTGGAAAGAGAACTAAAACAGGCTGGCACTGCTTCGCAAACCAGTTCAGTTTAGATTGCCGCGGACGGTAGGTGTGTTAGAAGGGGGCGTGCTTAAAGCGCCGCCAGCCCCTCTTTCACCACTTGCTGAAGCAGTTTGTTGAAAGAGAAAAAAAAAGGCTGGCACCGCTCCAAACCCAACATCCTTGGCACTTCCTACCATCCGCAGGGAACAAGAGTGTAGACCGATCAATCGTGCGCGGAACACCAAGAGATAATGCTTTTGTCATGTTCAGGTGCTTTATTATATGAACTAAAAAGAGTGGAATTTCAAAGCTTTCTAGTTCAGGTCAGATTCAACTAGCTGCAGTTAGTGAGCTGATAGGACACTAACTGGGATTTGAATGCCCGCCCTGACTTCCGTTTTCTGACTCTACCCAGTCGAATACAACCACACGCCCAGCTCGAAAGCCTCACCTTGGCCGACTGGAACTGCCTTTCACTGCTTTCGCATACGGGTCAGGCTCGCTGATCAAAATGCGAGAGCAGTGTAAGGCGGTGTCATAGAGCATTGCAGGATTTGCTACTGCTTACTTAGTACACCTTACCTTTGAGCGTCTTGGATCACCGCCTGTCACATAGAATCGACTCCTTCCATGTCAAAATGCATTCATATAGTCCTTAGCGCCATCTTCTTACTCGCCCTCCCTCATCGACGACCAGACAGTTCAGCCATCAATGGTACCAGTACAGTGAGATCAGCAAGCGTGCATTTGCCCTCGATTTGCCCTCGACCATCAGTCCTCTTTTATTGCCCCATTGACTGTTTCTGTGAAGGAACTCTAGGAGGATGAGGGTCTCTAAACGACATTTCTCAAGTTCGATGAGCAAACATTAGGAGAGTTTTCGTGATCACACTACTTTTTACCGTTTGGCTAACGGCTGATACAATCATCGGCAGAGACAGGCAGTTGCTAAACACGCACTTCATCTCTACATACCTTTGGCGCGCCTAGTAAGACTTCTAGTTTCAAAAGTGGAGTGATTCTCAACAGAACTTTATTCTCCTCTTATTGTGGAAAGAAACTTTCACATCAAGCGGATAGACAAACATAAAATTTTCTCCAAATTCCTCGGATGGTTGCCAGATATGGTGTTAAGGGAGACACACATTTCACGATAACCTGATATCCTGAGTTCATCCCTTGTCCGAGCAGCTTGGTCTGCAATCTAAAAATTTGCCTCGGTTCCGCGACGCCATAGTGAACACAGTGAACTGCTGCCGGCTTCTAAAGTGAGGAGCGCGGTCCGTGCATTCTCTCGCTGGGATACAAACAGTGTCGTCTCTCGCTGTCTTCTAGTCATTCCAGCTCGTCTTCCCTGACTTTCCGCTATTTTGGCACTCGCGAAGTCGCTTCTTCAAAGGGTTAGAGTGTCCTACTACTGCCTTCTCAAAATAGCTTGTCATAGCCACTGATGGCTGGAAATTTCCGGTCTTTTTGACACAGGCATTCGCAACATGGCTCTATTGACCACTTGTGCAACTATGGAGCTTTACTCATGTAGCCCTTTCCGCCACAAATTCCCAGCAAACACCTCATTCACCCATCCAATTCCGATATAGGCAACAATGCCCACGAATCGTACCACAAGATCTTTGTTGTTGTCCCGTTCAGCTGCTTTGCAGTTCATCTGCTCATTACCGCTCGATCAGTGAGACAAATATAGGACGTTGGCCCTCCAATGCTCGACGAGATAAAGCGTAGTTCCATGGTCTGCCCAATTCTCAATGGCCTGTCCTTCATGTGGACATCCTCTTCACGCTGACAATGTATGAATGCCCTCTTGACCATTGACCAGTAAAAACTTCGGCATTACATCATCACCCAGTCTGACAGTTCAAGTGTCTGCAAATAAAAAACAAGAGAAAAACAGTGGAGATGTGTCAATAGAGCCATGTTGCGAATGCTGTGTAAAAAGACCGGAATTCCACATCAGTGGCTAATATGAAGTGACTGGAGAAGTAGTAACACACTTTGACTTGGTGGGAGAGGGGGGCGCAAAAGTGTGCTCAGAGGAGCTTGTACAGGCCGTTGTGAAGACTTGTGAATCTTCACAACTCAGGTGGCTCAGTTGCACCATTTTGTAGCTTCACAAATCTTTACGGCTCTCACCAAAGATAGCGGGATTAAGCAAAGGGAACTAGCGAACTATAAGTAAACTGCAGGGCCAGCCGATGTCAAGCCAGATTGTTATCCTACTGGGCAAAACTGGTGATGGTCTACGGCCTCTGAGTGAATGAATGGATGGTTTGGTTGGCCGGAAACCACTGACCAGTGACCACGAGCATAGTAAGTGGCTCCACTTGTCTCTGCACCACCTCGTCCTCACCACGAATTATGAAAGATGTCTGATACAATAATGACTGCAAGAAAACCCACGCCAAGTCGGTTTTTATCCTCCCACTTCCCTCAGATGAGTCTGCACCGATCCAATCTGGAGTACCACACAGTTGTTGGCCATGCATCTGAATGGTTACCCTGATTCTATCGATCTCCTATTTTCGAAACATCTTCTGTAGTGGGTGGAATGGTTTCTGCTCACATTTTTCTCTGCCACCGTTGTGTCCCTAGATGACGTGACCGTGATATTAAGGCTATGAATGGTAGGTGAGGATAAGTCACAAGGTGTGAGGATAAATGCCTAGGATACATTCGACACTCATGAGAGCTTTTGAAAGGGAGCACTTATAGCGCCCCTATCAAGTTACAGACGGACGCCGCGCAGCAACCGCTTTCCCCCCCCCTCTTCCCCATTTAGGCGTCACTCTCAAAGTCGACAGACGGCCGCAGAGTCGACGCGTAGTGCTTATTGGCTTCATTCATCGAGATATAAGGGTTGTAGAAACACGGATGGTATGATGCATACAAGGCAGCTAGGATCGTCAAAGTGCTCGTACATGCGTTCGGGATGAAGCTCCTCAACCTTCGCTCTCTGTTACAATTTTTGAGCGCAGTGCGCAGTTTTACGTGCCTAGATGCTCTAAAAGGTCGGCTGACCGACTATGATCTCAGACAAAATGCATGCCCTTGGCGCTAGTGCATTCGAAGGTCTTCCCATTGTCCTCTAATTCACCCTCACTTGATCTTTCACTGTCCTCCACCTTGACTGACGCTTTTTGAAATACTGATGGGTTTGAGAGTAAATATGAAATAAAGATCCCTGAAACCTCTAATCCAAGCAAAGTAGATGAAAGTTCCTTGAGCAAAATGTCTGCTTAAGAAACTTTCTTTTCGAATAACCAACTCCCGAGCATTCGTTTCTGCTCTACACACTCTACGTTTTCTGAATTTTGATTTATTTTCCAATTTCAGTTTGTTCCAGCGACTTCTCTAACGGCGTGCGTAGCTGGACATTACACTTAGCGAAATGACCTCTCCATGGCATTTCAAGATATTCATTTTCAACGAGGAAATCAATTTCTTCCCTGTTAGCAGTAAAGTGGGGAACAGCGTCTCGCCGATGCGCGAACTTTGAGCAATGGGCAAAAGAAATAATTTTTCGGCGTGACCCGTTCTGTCTAAAAAGATCAAAGTTTTCAGAAGTTAAGGCTGTGAAAGATGTTGTGAAAGTTTCGGAATGCTAGCTCATAAAGGCTACCGACTCCGGTCTCTGAACGTCTTGGGTGCCTTCGGAGACCGAACTTTTCTGCTCTGTATTACCACGGGTGTGCATGGAAATCTCTGCGATCGATTTTTTATAATAAAATATTGTTTTTATCTCTGCCATTAATCTTTCCAAAGTTAGGAGCTATTTGTGGAATTCACAACAAGAACAGTTTCATTACAATAGTTGGCAGCAAAAAGAGGTAATAACATGTATCACATGAGATCAAAGAACGTAAAAAAATCTGTACAACCGGATGATCACAGATCAGCTGAAAATGACGTCCAATTTCGACATATTTCATGACGTTAAATGCCATTGATCAATTGCTCAAAACAAATAAATAAGCCTATTACACTCGGAATTTTCGTAAAATTCCATTTCGAGAAAGTTGCTCATCTTCTTCCATTGGCATCTCTGTTGTGGATCTAGAAGGCCACTGAGGTGTCCATGCAGTGGTCCCACTGGGCCCTTGAGTGAATCCTCGCGTTGTTGTTTGATCGTATTTCTTTGTAGCCCACCAAGGTGCCCATGCGGTGGTCGCACTGGGTCCCTGGGTGAACCCTCGAGTTGTTGTATTGGGATTCTTTGTAGCTTTAGAAGGCCACTGCGGGGTCCATGTGGTTGTCGTATTAGGCCGTTCGGGAAGTCGTCGAGCAGTCGGAACGGCACTATTCGTAGTTCTACTAGGCCATTGAGGTGCCCAAGTAGTGGTAGTCGTCGCCCATGGGACATATCTTCGAGTTGTCGGCCAAGCAGGAGCAGCCGTTGTTGTTGCTGGTGGTGCCCATCGTTGTGTTGTCCATGATGTGGTCGTTGTGGAGGTGGTTGGCCAGGTTCTCTGGGTAGTCCACGTCGGCCGGCTGGTGGGACTCGGTGTATATTGCGTCGTCGAGACGCCAGCAGCTTTCTGAAAGCTTGTTCATGCGAACGAGCTTTGAGACTAAAATTTAGGCATTAAATTCTCCTCAGAAGGATGTCGCATCGGCAGCTCTTAGCTCAAACAGCGCAGGAGAATGAAATGCCTTGACAATAACTAAACTACACTAAGAAGGGAAACTAGTAACTACGAAACTACTCGGAACTAGGAACTAAGAAACTAAGGGCAAAGAATACCTGTGGGCAGCGGTACAAGGTGTTTATACGCAGAATGTCGCTGACACTGAAGTACGTGCGGGGATAGACGATACCGGGGAAGTTGTAGTGCATAATTGAAGTTGGGTCGTATTTTCCCATGTAATAGGTCGACCATCGTGGATAAATCTTAAAGTTGTAATGCGTGGGGCTGCCTGAAATCCGTGGATCGCGATCGTCCCTGAAAATGATGACCCCATTAGGTTTCTCTGGGAACATAAACGGGAGAGATGAGAAACTCTGGCTAACCTTTGATGCTCATGATAGAAACCAATGATATGCATCAATTCATGCATTACAGTACCACGGCCATTGAATCTAAGGCAGCTTGGGTCGAGTCGCATACGGGTCTCGACATTCCCTTCTGGAGTACGGAAAAGGTGCGTCGTTTGACGACCAATGTAAGAGAAACACCTATAATAGTCAAGGTCTTTCATAGTAATTATCTTCGTTGAAAAAGTATTCCGATTGAGGACCATCAAATCCAATAGAAAAGTTTTCAAAGAGCAGTTCACTCACCTTTCAAGGTTATAGTACTTGTTAATCGTCAAATAGTACCGATCTCCAGCGTGTCGAGGTCGAAACGTAATGCAGGTGTGCTTTGGGAATTCGGCCATTCCCGAGAGAATAACATTTCGTTCCCAGTTGTCATAATGGGGAGCAATCTCGTACGGGACTACACCACCCGGCCAGAGACTGAAATATCATTATTCACCCACTCATGCAAAGAAATTTAGAAAAATCCAGCAAATATCCAAAATATCCAAGTAAACGAAATCTTACTGTGTACTCCATTGCGACGGGTGAATGGCTAGACGTTTTGATCTTGAATGCTGTTCAAGATTATTATTGACGTCAGTTGAAAGGATTGCTGGCTGAAATTAATGATGACTGGACAAAAAATGACAAATTTTCCTTCCCTACCCCTACCCCTATCCATCCACAAATAGAAGAAGGGACAGTAAAACTAGTTTTTTTCCCCGAGGTTGTTGTCAACAGCAGAATGGTTTTATGGTAGACAACTGCGAAGGGTGTAAGTGGATCTGTCGATTTGACTGGTATGTTGACAGTTAATAATTGAAAATATTCATGGTCTATTAGAGAGAATGGATCGCAGAGTTTGTGGATGGAGAGAGGATGAGGTAGTACGGTAAAAGGTCTAGTATTGAAGTACTTACCAGTAAAGCTGACAGGAGGATGAAAGCAGTGCGAGACATCTGTAAGGTAGCTAGAGCGTAGAGGTTCCCAGCGGATTCCGGAATCTGTTCGGCAAGGAGCGGTCACGACCTTTATAGTGGACTGGCCGACTGGGGATCCGCAAGATGGCGATGGACAGAGTACAAGTTGAGAGCAACCACGTTAATCATAAATCATGATAGACTGAGGCGAACGAGGAGTGGGGCAGAAAAACAGGTAGTGATGAAAAAGATCAACCTCCCCCCTTGACAATCGTGAGACACGAGGACGAAAATCAGAAAGCACCTGTGCTCCTAAAGTGCAACAACGAGGTTAATGCGGTTTGTTCTCTAATGACCACAGTAAAATGAACTCTACTGTCATTAAGCAGGAACGTCAAGGAGGACAACGGGGTTCAAAAGGACCCAATGAGACTTCCTCTACTCCTCTACAGTTTTTATTCAGCTTGAATAGATGAGCTTGAATAGAGGAACTGTCCGGAATAAGTGGCCTTCTTTTGTCCTACTGCGAAAATGGGCTGTCACGGAAGCGGTTCAAAGCATCGTTGAAAGTTAAGAAATTTCTGAAATTGAAAAGTGTAGCGCCAGTATGGGAAAATTGGTTCTCAACTGAGGTCCTTACAACTTAAATCACGTGCTTATGACTTCGTCAAAGAACGTCATCCACCGTATAAGCCTGTTTTACCGTCTAGCGGG